CCAAAGGCTCCAAACAGCATCTCTATCTACTACAGACACTTCAAGCATCAGTGGATCAGCCAGTTCATAACGTCCTAGTGACAAAGCAGCCTGCACAGCAGCCTGAATCTGTTGCAGAGCCTTCTATTTTTCTGGGCCCCACTCAAAGCTATGAGCTTTCTGAGTTAAGTGATAAACAGGCTGCAGCAACACACCCAAATGAGGGATATGTGCCTCTAAAATCCAAAGAGGCCCACTAGATGTTGTGCCTCCTTTTTAGTTGTGGGGGAAGCCAGATACAGTAACTTATCCTTCACTTTATTAGGAATATCTCAACATGCCCCACACCACTGGACCCCTAGCAATTTCAGTGAGGTGGAAGGTGCCTGAGTGTTGGGTTAATTTCCCAACCTCTAGCATGCATATGTCTCACCAATAAGTTTAGAGTAATCGATACTTCTTACTTGTAGGTCAAATCAGTATAATGTCATAAATATAATACACCAGTGCAATGTCTTGTGAAGGAAAAGGCAATCAAGAGCCCTACGATGTAAATTATGACATAGTGTCGGGGAGTTGATATACCCTTGAGGAAGCACTGTGAAAGTATATTGTTGGCCTTGCCAGCTGAAGGCAAACTGCTTCTGATGGTCTTTTGGAATTGGCACTGAGAAAAAGGCATTGGCCAGATCAATAGCTGCATACCAAGTACCAGGAGATGTACTGATTGCTCAAGCAATGAAACCATATCAGGAACAGCAGCTGCAATTACAGTCACCACCTGATTAAGTTTACAATAATCTACTGTCATTCTCCAATATCCATCTTCCCCCCCCCCCAGGCCAAACAGGTGAATTAAATGGGGGATGTGTTGGGAACCACCACCCTTGCATCCTTCAAGTTCTTGATGGTGGCAGTAATCTCTGCAACCCCTCCAGGGATGCGGTACTGCTTTTGGTTTACTATTTTTGTAGGTAGAGGCAGTTCTAATGGCTTCCACTTGGCTTTTCCTACCATAATAGCCCTTACTCCACATGTCAGGGACCCAATGTGGGAATTATGCCAATTGCTAAGTATATCTATTCCAATTATGCATTCTGGAACTGGGGAAATCACTACCAGATAGGTTCAGGGACCCACTGTGAGATGCATCTTAGCTAAGACTCCATCAATAACTTGACCTTCATGTGTCCCCACTCTGATTAGTGGGCCGCAATGATGTTTTTGGTCTTCTGGAATTAGTATCAGTTCAGAGCCAGTGTCTAGCAATCCCCAAAAATTCTGATTATTTCCTTTTCCCCAATGAACAGTCACTCTCATAAAAGGCCTCAGATCCCTTTGGGGAAGGCTGGGAGAAAGACTGACATTATAAATTTTTGGCAATGTAGTGGGGTCCTTCCTCAAAGGGACCTGGCCTCCCCTTCATTCAAGAGTTTGTGGGTCTGTAAACTGACTCAAGTCTGAGAATTAATTGAGAGGCCTTGACTCTGTATTCTGGGGATTCAATCTAGGCTGCTGTTCACGTGACCTAAAATTCTTCTGTCTATACAGATCAAATAAATACTTAGTAGGTTTGCCATGTATTTCACTACCAGGAACACCATGAACAAGTAGCCAATGCCATAATTCCACATGAGGCAGACTATTCTGATTAGTGTTCTGACTCTGCTGTCCATTATCGTAACCACATCCACCTTGCATTTGTCGATTAACTGCTGCCACTTGGCCCTTACTATCACAGGGTCCAATCACCCTCATCATAGTTAAGTGTCTTAGTGCAATTAGGTCAGTTCCCATTGTCAAATCCAGCTTACATAAAATAGCAATCATAGCAGTATTCAAAGATGCTGGGGCTCTCTTCACAAATTGATTCCTCACCATACTGTTGAAAAGTATGTCTTCTGGACTCTCCAATTTTGGATCTAGGGTCTAATCTGATAAATCCATTCCAACAGGCCAGTTTCCCTAAGCCTCTGGATACCTTCTTCTGCATTATACCAAGGCAGGTCTGGTACTTCAACTTCACTTAAGGTAGGCCATCATATAATCCGTGCTTCACTAAGCCAACCAAATAGACTATTAGATCCTTTCCTAACCTCTCAAGTTGAAACACTGAGTGGAGAATCCATACTTAGTGAGCCTAAATCAGTAACATTGATCCAATGTTACATTCCTTGCAACGTTATTTCATAGCCTCAGTAGTCATTCCCATACATATTTTCCAGGTTTCTGTCTGTACATGTTAGCAAAACAAAGTAGGTCTTTTCAGGTGTAACATACCACCTCCTCAGTCACACTTTGTATTTCACCTTTTGGGGCTCACTTGGACTTAACTTTAGTTATAGGTCTAGCAGCAACAATGGGTGATTGGCACAGTTCTTGAGAACATTCAGCAATGTCTTCCATGGCCTCTGCCTCAGGAAATGACCCCACAGGAACAATCAGGTTAATCCCATCAAACTGAGGTAGAGGGGATAATGATTTTAAAGTAATCCTTTCAGATGGGAGGGAATTTACAGGCTCCATATCTTGATCTTCCTGACTATCTGCCCATGTGTTCCCATTCCAGGTTTCAGAATCCCATTTTTTTCCCAATTAGTGCCCTCACTTTAACTTCAGACACAATTCTGGACTGGCAATTTAATTGGCATTGTAATTTAGCCACCCTTACAGTAAGATTCTGGGTTTGCTTTTTGGCAATATCAGCTCTGTTACTACAAGACATAAGGCTTTCTTTCAGAGCACAACTGGAAACATTGAGGTCTTTTATGTGGTGCTCAAGCTGTTACTCAGCAGCCCTGAACTCATCTCTCTCTTTCACCACTTTGTCTAGTGTAAGTAGGACCAAGCAACCACCTTCCTTATACTCCGCATGCTGACAAAATTGCAGAAAAGTATCAAATATATGATCACCCAGAGCCTCATTTCTCAAAAGTACTTGATGTATTGGTGGTGTTATTTTGCGTATTAATGTTGCCACCTCATGCCACAGATTTGCAGGGCCCTCTTTACTAACAGAGGCAGGGTTACCAGTGCCTTTACAATTAATCAAACTGGAGAACCAATTTAGGAAGCCCATACTTATGATTTTGTCTGCTAAAACCACCCCACTCTCGGTACCAAATGTGTTAGACTGGATTCTCTAGAGAAACAAAACCAGTAAAGCTTATATATATAGAGAGAGTGTGTGAAAGTATGAGATTGTTTCTATATAGCCACCACTCTGTATGTGATTATGTTTCTATATAGCTACCACTCTGTATGTGATTATGTTTCTATATAATAGCCACCACTCTGTATGTAATTATGTTTCAATATAACCAAC